AGGGTGGAAAGGCCTTGCAGAGGGATCTGGATAGGTTGGAGAGCTGGGCGATCGCCAACCGCATGAAGTTCAATAAGAGCAAGTGCCGGGTCCTGCACCTGGGACGGGGAAACCCTGGCTGCACGTACAGACTGGGCGATGAGACGCTGGAGAGCAGCCTAGAAGAGAGGGATCTGGGGGTCGTCGTAGACAGCAAGTTGAATATGAGCCAGCAGTGTGCCCTGGCAGCCAGGAGGGCCAACCGTATCCTGGGGTGCATCAAGCACGGCATCGCTAGTAGGTCGAGGGAGGTGATTGTCCCACTCTACTCTGCGCTGGTGCGGCCTCACCTCGAGTACTGTGTGCAGTTCTGGGCACCACAGTATAAAAAGGACATGAAACTGTTGGAGAGTGTCCAGAGGAGGGCTACGAAGATGGTGAAAGGCCTGGAGGGGAAGACGTATGAGGAACGGCTGAGGGCACTGGGCCTGTTCAGCCTGGAGAAGAGGAGGCTGAGGGGAGACCTCATCGCAGTCTACAACTTCCTCGTAAGGGGGTGTCGAGAGGCAGGAGACCTTTTCTCCATTAACACCAGCGACAGGACCCGCGGGAACGGAGTTAAGCTGAGACAGGGGAAGTTTAGGCTTGACATCAGGAGGAAGTTCTTCACAGAGAGAGTGGTTGCACACTGGAACAGGCTCCCCAGGGAAGTGGTCACTGCACCGAGCCTGACTGAATTTAAGAAGAGATTGGACTGTGCGCTTAGTCACATGGTCTGAACTTTTGGGTGGACCTGTGCGGTGTCAAGGGTTGGACTTGATGATCCTTGAGGGTCCCTTCCAACTCAGGATATTCTATGATTCTATGATTCTATGATGTTGCCTTGATTACTTTGGATGGGGAAAAGAAAAACCAAGGCCTCTCTTCAAACCCATAATATGATGCTATTCCTTTTGACATTTTTTATGAGCTTCTTGGAATCCAGTGACAGCAATAGATTTGGCCAGTATTCTGTGAACATTTTAATTTCAGAGTGACATTTTAGTGTTTGTGTGTTTTGCTGCTGAATTTATTAGAATTTAGAGTTATACAGATACAGCTGATAAAAGCATTAATCAAAGCAGGCTCCACAGAACCTGCAAACAATAGATGAAGTGTCTACACAAAATATGATAGATAATGGTATAAAAATTAGGAACAAACAAACAAACAAACAAAAAAAACTCCAAAATAACAGAGAAAAGGACATAAAGCAGACACTTTATGAACATAAAGTGACTTAATGGTTTGTGATAGGGATAAAATGTACGTGTCCAAATAAGGGTAGAAGTAGAGTCTAATAATTTTTGATCACTGTATAAAAAGACCTGTCAGAATCCATGCAATCTTTGTATGGGTCTTGGGTAGCCTGCATAACACTGTTCTAATACTTTATCGACACACATGGTACATTAGCATCTTGTGTGTGAGATCATGAGTGTGACAGAGCCATACCTTGTATGTATACCCACTAAACAGGGAGGAGCCATTGCCTCTGAACCCAGCCTGTGGTACGTTTTGAAACAAGAATGGTGCTGAAGTTTCCAGACTACAGAGCAATGGACCTCTGGCTATGATTCAAAAAAAAAACTGACTCACAGTACCAATGGGTTTGTTTTCTCTGACGAGGGATGAAATTTAAAAGGGATATTAAAAATTGTCACAGCCAGACTAGAAGCAGAAGAAAAAAAAAATGAAATGAAATGAAATTACTTTCTCAACATCACTGCCAACAAAGTTAAGCTATTTTGTTCTATTTGTAAAGCAGGTCAGGGAAACCAAGAAGACATTCACAGAAGCTGACTGATAGCCCCCATGTGTAATATGAGCAGATCACAAAGAGTGGCTACTAGGAAGAAGCTTTATAAAGATGTTGAGACTTTACTCATAGCACCTACACAGAGGTTGTCTCATGTAGAATATGTTTAGCTGGGCACACACTATAAATTCCTCAACTTCAGACCACAGCTGAAACTGATGAAACATCAATGATTTAAAATAACTTAAGATTCCACCTCTTCTGCTCCAAAGGAAAAAGTTTAACTTAGTACTTTAGCCCTACGTATTAATAATCAGTAGATCCCTTATAATTTAAAATGCTTATTATGCCTTCCAAATAATATTCTTACTGTGCAACCCACAGTTCCGTCACACGTCCGCTTAAATAGGAAGAAAAATTCATTCATAATAATAAATTTAGACCAAAAACAACAACATTGTGCACACTTGCAAGTATGCATCCATACAGTAGTTGCAAGGGAACATATAATTATTCTCATAAAATGCACGCCTGAAATTGAATTTTTATTTCAAATTAGTTTGTAAAGAGTATGGTTTGTCTAATATGTTATTAGGACCTCTTCAGATGAAAGGAGAAAAATGGATTAATAACAAAGAGCATACTGATTGAAATCTAATTTCTGTTATCACAGCTAAATGCTATTTTTGCATGCAAGCTGAAGCTGTGTATTTTGTGATACAGTCCCATAACATATTGTCATTCATTTCTGTGTTCTTTAAGAGCCATTTTCTGTTAAACTGAAAATAACGGTGCCTCATGTAACTATGCAATATAAATGCTTTCAGTTAACAGTCAATTCTCAAACAAGAGAAACAAATAATTATTCCTGAACAGTGTTTTCAGGTGAAGAATACTACCCACATAAAACACCTTTAAAAATAATATATGCCTGATTATCAGCACTACTCAGATGATTAATCTTTCCCTCAAAGCACATATTGATCTCTAGCAAAGAATTTCAATTACATGAAATAATTCCATGTATATTTCATGAATATTTTGTAAAAACAACCTGAGTTCTTTGCATTCGGAAGTAGTTTAGAAAATGAAAGACACTGAAGACAGTAAGCAGCCAAAAGAGGTGGGCTGTTGTGATAAAAAACTGAGGACAAATATTTTAGTTTTATTTTAGTTTCAGCCAATTCATATTTTCCGATGAGAAAAAAATATATATTGAATTTAGATCAGTTCTCATCAGCAGCATCACTCTGTTGCAGAATCCCTTCAACTGCTGAATGCACTGAAAATTATGTGCCACTGCACGTGTGTTTAGTTACCTTGTTAGGTGCTATCCTGAGGCACTTAGAATAAATACTGGGTGAAGTGCATCTTCTGCTATCATTTTACACAAACAGAGACTAGGAGCAAGTACCTTCCAGAAAGCAGTGAAAGGAATTAAAAGTACCATAAAATTACAAGGACTATAATAGCAGGAAACATAAATGATGGGACATCATATAAGGAAAAGCAAAGCTTCTTGCTGAGCTTCAGCTGATAGCTACACGGTCAAGTTAGTCCAAGTGGGATCTAACTTTTAGCCTGGAAAATAAAACAGTACTAATCCATTTGATTTTTATTTCAAATCGATCCATCTCAAAAGCTAATGAGCACATCAAGTAAAAGAATTCACCTTTACAATGTATTGATGAAATATTTATTTTCTTTCCCTAACAATGAAAGAATTGATTTTAAATCATGTAATCAGGATACTAAAAGTATTTATGAACAACAAAAACTTCTATAGATGCTCACAACAGGTGCCCAGTGACTTTAGTTTTCCCCCAATGTAATCCTGCGAGAAGTTACAAACATCATTGTCAACTTTGTAGCTAAAATGAGAATTTTGACATCACTTTCCCAAGACTTCCAATTTCTTTGACCAGAGGACCACTTTTACATCATCTTATCCAGTCTTACCAGAAAATACAGACATACTGCAGTTCTAATTGCAGAGCATTTAGATCCTGATTTGGGATCCCCAACGCTACAGTTGAACAATCAGATTGAAACCATTTTTTCCTTCAATTAATAAATTATTTGCAAAATACCATCTTTTATTAAGTAATTTATTATTCAGGGTTGTCAGAAAAGTTTACACAAATGAAGGCAAGCTGCCTGGCTGTACGGTAAAAGCCTAAAGGTGAGGTTTGTTCGTCAATATATATGACACCATCTCAGCTGATATCATTTCTACTCTTGCTGCAACTTCTAGGAAAGCTGCAGTCCAGGAATCATATGCTGAAAATACTGAGGAATAAAATGCTTAAAATCCTGCTTTTGCATGACTGCACAGCTATTTGAATGACAGATATACAGACCTCAAATACTGGAGACAATAAAATCATCCCCGCAAATGTTTGTGGGCAGAGGAGACAAACAAAACCATAAACTCAGTTGAATCAATTAGCCTTTCTAAAGTCAAATGAGACAGCGATTAAAGCGACATCCATCTCAAGAACTAAAGGATTATTTAGTGGACCTTAATCAGGCAAGACATGCAATGAAATTAAACAAGCAGATTAAAATTAAAAATTGTCATCCCCTTAGCTAAATCAGAAACAATATTGTTACCAGACAAAACAATGCTATGTGCACATCATGGTGAGAAGGAATAAATAGCCTTTTTCTCTTTCCCTTCGGTACTAGTGCATTAAGTCTGAGAAGGTAATTAATGTTACTACACATTACTATGAATTTAATCAGAATTTATGTCTTTGTCTGCCATTGAATAATCTTGTTTTTCAAGTTCCTACAAAAGGACATAGTACTGCTATTTTGGGGAAAGGTAACAAAGATAGAGGTTTATCTAGTGTCACGTCATTCTGCTGACAAGGTAGGCCATGCATCATCAGCTTTCTTCTTCTTCTTCTTTTTTTTTTTTTATGAGCTTTACTTATCAATTACTATTAATCCTGATTTGTGTTGCCATGGATTTTTCTGAGCAAAGGTTACGAATGCATAGCAGAGCCTGATGGAGATTAATGTGCAGAATAAAACAAAGGGACAAAAACACCTTCAGAAAAGTATGACCTCAGACATGATCTGTCATATTACCTTATTTGCTGCTATGATAAAAATAAATTAAGAATCTCCAACCAACAGTTTCTTTGTTAAAACTGAATCATAATCACTAGATAAACTGAAATTTTAATCAGCATTACAGTAAATGTACTATACTTACATGTTGTTCACAGTATTCAATGGAGCATCAGCCTGCTTGCTTTCCAATTCAATAAATAATCATGGTTTCTTGCAATAAAGAAATTCATTTCTGGAAAGACAAAACAGGAGGTTAAATGTTTTTTAATAGGTTTTTTTTCAGTAGTCATGCACTGTAAAGCAACATATGAAAATAAGGTCTCAGCTGGGAAATTACAAGTACATATTACAATTTCATTTTAAAAACTTCATAAGTCTTTATTTGTCTTAAGTCTTAAGTCTTATCTTAAGTCTTTTAATGCATTTGCAAATGCATTATTAATATTTTATGAGAGTCAAGAATACATTTCATATATAGGTGAAAAGTTGCTTGAGCTGCAGGAAATTTATTTTTTCTGTTTTTTTTTGTTGTTGTTCTGCCAACAAGAAAGTTTGTGCTTTTCAGGAAGTAGGCATTCCCAGTTTCAACAAAGAAGACCTTTCACAAGCACAAGAAAGTAGAATATTGGCATCTTGGCTTAAACAAACAAACAAACATGCATTTTTCTTATTAAATAAATAAATAAATAAATCCCTTGATTATTAATGGCAGAAGGATTTGAAAGAAATCCTCTAGATGATATTCCAGAATACCGCCCATTATCCCTTTTCAATATTTATTAATAGGAACACATGAAGAAAAGAAACAGGCTGAATAATAGACTCTAACAGTGAAAATCAGTTTAACTGCAGAGTAGACTCTAAGAGAAAAAAGAATCTCTATAGCAAGCTATACTTATATATATAAACTTATATATATGTAAGTTTATGAGATCCAGTACATTCTTTCTGCTCTGACAGAAGCTTGAGTGAGTTCTACCATTTTCTCTAGGAGGAAAAAAGACTAATTTAAAACATTTTTGCTTCCTGTACTTGTAAACAAATATCCTCTAGTTTGGATAGTCAACGAGTTTCCTATCTTGCTATCAAAATACTGGTAAGATTTCTAGTCAGTGTTGTAGCATATTCCTTGCTGTCAACAGAGAATTTCTATTATTATTATTATTGAGACCTTATTCCTGCAGATTCCTGAATAACTCATTTAAACCTTATGATGATATTCTTGTGTGTGTAGTTTGGTTTAAATTACTCTTTGTGACCCCCAGTGAATCCATCCTCAGCCATTCTACAGATGAGGATACTAAATGCTGAGAAAAATTTGACTTAGAAGTTTTTATTAATTTTAACCCTGCCAGGTCTGAAAGAAAACATTACTACTAGTGTAGTAACAGAACACTACTAAGGCTGATCTGCAGAGATTCTGTTAGATCGTATAGCAAGCCTGCTTCATGGCTAGAACCTCATCAACTATTTACAAGGAAACGGAGTGATGGCACGCAGGTGCTCGTGCAATGAATGCAGGTACCAAGATCCAGCTCTCCAGTTTTGTCAGCCCTTCATGGAACAGCGATTCTGACATATGGTATTTATCTAGCCATAAAGAAAGGCAGACTGACTTTAAGCACACATGGCCAAATTCAGCTTGGCTTACAACATTAAATACACCGATATAGAAATGCAATAGTGTAACTTAAGGGACTGGAAATACACTAAAATAATTACCTTGTTCTGGTAATTTTCAAGTTTTAGGCACACATCAGTAATCTGAAGTTTTAATAAATCTCACCTTTCATGAATTCTGGAGTTAAGTATATGACATCAAATGTCACGAGCTTAAAAAGGTATAAAACAAAGGGTTGCCTTTACAGGCTGGTAATAGAGTATTGCACATTATTTTTCTCTGATAGTTCAGTCCTGCCAGCTACCTGGAGAACCATTTGCTCCTCTCAGAAGGTGTTCAGTGACTCTTATTACTTAACCAATTAAAAAGGGCTAATTTGTACTCTATTCCAATTGTGTGCTGAGGACAAGAATTCAGCATGATGACAAAGCTCAGATTTGGAAGCAATGGCACATACCTGTGAAGCACATTATAAAGCTAATGTATTGTGGTGGAACTCTTTAATACACCTCCTATGTGAAAAGAAAGTCACTAAGGATGGCCAGTCTGTGCTGGCAAAAAGGAATAGGATTGCTTGCCTGAAAGCTGCAGCCTTGCTGGAAGTCATCTTCTATTTAAAAAAAAATAAAAAATAAAAAATAAAAGAAGAAAAATGTAGAAACACCTCCTATTTCTCTCTGATGTTTCTGGTAATCACATGTTAAAACTCATCCTCTGGAAGCAACTGTTAATATTGCAGAATCTCTTGCCTACTGAAAGGAGAACCAAATCCCTTGAATGAACAGTCTCCTTCCAGAATTTGCCTAAGCAAATTGCCTCTTCTTCCCTTCCTTACTCCTATAGAAATATAGAAATACACATTTTATAGGTGATGAGATGGCAGGTAAAACCTAGTGCATGAAGCAATAAAAATAAAAACTATTAAAAAAGAAAAGTAGAAAATACTGTAGTAGAAATACTGTTTAATTTTTCTGTTTGGAATAGTTTGGAATATTCTCATTAACAGCTTTCCTGGTTTGATAATTTCTAGCTGTTGTTCAAAAGTCATATACAGGTTCACAGGGAAAAGAAACATTAGGCAAAACACTGTAAAATCATCTTTAAATTTCTAAACTAGATAACTGTAACCTTCCCTTCAAAATATCTCACCTCTCCTGACTGTTACGGACATGTCTCCACAGATTCAAGAAAAAAATATATTATAATCTAAGAAGGTAGTGTGTTGATACAGCCTCTCAACCTTCAGTGATATGCTTCAGTTTTGTCTCATTGACATGTACGTGACCACACAGTACTATCATTATCAAGTACTACCTAGCTGTTACAATCGTCTACGAACTGTTAATATATAGTATATGTAAGCAAAGATCACTAGAAAAAAAAATACCAACTGTAAAGACTAAAAAAAAAGAACTGAAATTAAAACCAGAGAAATGTAAAATTTTGGGGAAAAACAAAACAAAACAAAACAAAACTGTTTATTGACATTTAAGAAGCAATCAGTATGAAGCATCATAGATTATAGTTCTGGGAAGTGGCAGAAAGTAATGGCTGTAGACAAGAAATCTGCAGTAGAACATAGCCCTTTGAAGTACTTTGCCTCACGGCTCACTGACCAAAACCATCACTACCAAATGTAAGGAGTTGGAACCTCTGTGGTTATTATGTACAAGTATTTTTTCTGACAACTAAGTTTTAATTAACGTTTCTGCAAGTTTGGGGCTACAAATTAACAGTGGCATTCATAATTACAATAATAGCAGACATTTAATCATAATGACACATTATTGTTGTCATTATTTTTGTACTGTTATTGTACTATTATATTTTACACAAACATTAGTCAAAGCTGTTATAGTGATGTCTACACCACTCTTCAGTTCTGCTCAAAAAACTGTAGCTGAATGAAATAAATTACATATTTAGCAAAATATGTAAGATTTATCCATTATCAATACCCCAGAGCAATGCCACTTACTTGTCTTTATTAATATCCTAGAAATACAGGATTTCAGGAGATCTCAGCTCATTATGTGGCACATAAATTGATTTTCTAGAACATACTCAAGGATCTTTAGATAAGCTTCTGATCCTTTGCCCCGGTTAGTCTTAGAAACTATCAGCAGAAAGCATCCATGACATTCTTATGCCATTCTTCTCCTATTCTTAAAATTGTTTTCCTAATGTCTTTAAAAGCAGCAAACAAAACCACTATCTTCTTGTCTCACCTGCAGTGAGCATGAAAAGCATGAAAACCCCTGATCACAGCCCTCAGAGCAACAGCCCGCTCCAACCTGGAGATTTTACCTTCATTTTTGCTCCTGCTCCCAGACCTTCCATTACTTGTCAAAACTTTTCGAGTACACAGACATAAACAAAGTGCTCCATTCACTGTTAATTCAAGTGGAAACATTACTGCCAATGCCATACACATAATTTCTGTTACCTTTGTTTGTGGTTTTGTTTGTTTTCTTCATACTTAACCTCTTCAGCAGCAGTATAACACAGCAAACACAGTTACTTTAGAGACTGCTATGACCCACAGCCTACAATGCTGACCTTTTCCAGCCCCAGACCCTGCAAGTTCAATGCTCCAACACTGACAATTCCCAGTTCCTTAACTTCTGAGGCAAAACATATGATAAAAAACTTATGTACAACTGTGTTAACCCATTTTCCACTGCTCTTGCTTGTATTTATTTTCGTTGCTATTAACTGTTGAAAATCAGTTTGTAATTCACTTTTTAAGATTGATAGAAATAAGGTTATTCAATACTTCAGTTTTCTCTATGACTTGTTATTTGATCATTTACCACAGTAACATCTTAAAATATTTTTCATATCTTTTTGCATTATTTTTCTAAACCGATCATGTAGAGTGCCTTATAACACTTTTGTTATAATTCTCGTTTTGCCCCAGCCTTTCCAATTTAATCCTGACATAGACATTACTTCCATACACAGCTACAACTTCTATATGCTTTTAGTAAAGTTACTTTTTGATGTTCAGATTCTTAAGAACTGAGGCTACCATGTTGCTTTTCTACCACACTCTTTTTGATATATAGATGTTATTTCATTTTTACCATGAAGACAACCCATAGCACTGCCATGCAAAGTAAATGAAGTTTCCTGAATAACAGTAGGAGAACTGAGTTGACTCAAGGCCAACCAATTAGCCCACAACAAAATTTGAAATGTAAGTCTGGATTGCAAGTGTTTAGTGCTAGTCAGTCACTGTAAATTAACTTAGAGGAGCAAAAAGTAATAGCATAGAGGGGAGCCAAACCATGTTTATAATGAGCAAAAATAGAAAGAAGATATAACCACTGAGCATTCCCTGCTGTTAAAAAAGAAAAAGCTGAATTGTGCCTAATTTCTGCAGTGCAGGGAAAACAGAAGGGCCAATTAAGGACTGCTTCAGGTTCAATTTTCATCTGGAAAATAGATTAGCTTATCTGGATCTTATATAGCATTGCTCTTACATTTAGACTGAATTATTTGCCTTCAAAACATTAGCATGCCAATACAGGAGAGTGGCATGGACACCTATTCAGTCAAAATCCCTTTGGAAATTTAGAAAGTAGCAAGGAAGAGCCAACACAACAGCA